TTGCACTGCTTATTTTTTTTTTATTGCCGTCTATGCCTGGTTACATAGGTGGAGAAAAAAAGAAGGCGGAGCCTTGTATTGTGTTATATTCAACACCCATAATCCACTAAATCTAAGAAGTTTCCTAATTCTGACCAGAGGAGTAGTGAAACGTCCTGGCAGAATTGAGGAGGTGAGTGATTTCAGATTAGGTATTCCAGGAGGGCGGCTGGAAGAACAATGAGGAAATGCATGGAAGAGATGGAAAGCCAAGTAGCCAAGGTCATCAAGCTGGAATTGAACATATAACGGCCAGCATTGAACAATTAAGTCTGATGCTCGGAACAACTCACATAAGGAGACAGTCATTCTGGCATCATGACATTTGCTGCACGTCTTCCCCCTTTGTCATTACCTCTTTTTTTCAGTGTAGAGGGGAATCAAAGAGTTTGAGTTATATGCTTTAGTTTGTCTGCACTTTGACACACCTTTGCGAACGTAATTTATTATGGGCTGTGATCCTTCTGTGGGAATGGCTTTGGATAACTTTACTTAGTCTGACATGATTTAAATATGTGTCTAAACCAACATGCACTAGTTGCAGCCCTTTTAAAGAAAGCCTGCACAACACAAGCTTAGCTGAATGTTACAGATGGAGCAGAAAGTGTCATGAAATGTGTTGATGACAGGTGAGGATGACACTGTGGACCCAGGTTATTGAGCGAATGATGATGGTTTTAATGATGAATTCTCAAGAGAACGAAAGTCCAGGCAGCACAGGTGAGCAATGAGGGAAAGAACTTAGACACTGGTAGCAGCTGGAGACACACGACTTTCAACAAAGCCTCAACAAGGATCCAACAGGGAAACACAGACAGAGTGAATATAAATACACAGAGGGTAATCAGGGGAAATGAGGAACAGCTGGAAACAGTCAAGGTGTAGCAACACATGGACTAATTAACACACACAGAAAACCAAATCCTCACAGAAAGTGTAAACTAGACATGCATTTCATAATATAACTATGTTTTTATATACAATGGAAATCAGCAGATAGGCATGGAAAATGCAAAGACATCACACTGCATTTATGCTGTTGAATACATGTTAATGTTTTGACAAAAGCAAAATTCCAGCAGGAACAAAATCTCCTTATTCAGATCAATGCAACTATGTGCTTATGCTGGAGTGGTGAAGAAAACCAACCTGAAAGAATACACTGCATCAATAATATAAGCAATCAGGTTAAAATACGTCATGAAAGTGATAACAACAGCCAAACTCCACCCACAGACCACAGGGCAGGAGTTTGGTCTGGGATAAATCCTTAAGATGTAGAAAGGCCAGATGACGGCAACTGTGATGTACATTAGCACGGCCAGCACATTGCAGACGATCAGAACTTTGTTAAAAGGTGCAGGGAAGCGGGACAGCAGGCGGCCGATAGTTAAAATAATGATGAGGAGGGAAATAATGAAACAAATGGAGTAGACAGCAACACACCACTGGAGACCTGGAAGCAAGTTGTACCGCAAAAGGTCCACACAGATGAAGATGATGCAGGCCACGAAGGCCTCCAGAACTTTGAGCAGGCCCGGCACAGTGGAGAGAAACCCACTGATTTCACCAGGCTTGGCCCGAGTCAGTCCAACCTCGACAGCGTAGAGGAAGAAGGTCAGGAAGGAGAAAACGCAGGCCGCAATATCTTTGCCACAGTGAAAGCCCCGTACAGGTAGTCGCCTGCAAGTGAAGAAGATGGAGAAGAGGAGGGACGATGTGAGCACCTGGATGGATGACAGATAAAAAATAAGATGCTTAGATTGACTTGAGCAGTATTTACAAGTAAAAACATTTTTGGATGAGCTATTAATAGATAAAATATAGACTGTCAAAAAAATAAATGAATAAATATAGTCCAAACATGTTAGCGACACTAATTATACAATCACATCTTACAGAAATTAAAGAAATGTAGCATAAACTTTATTTTCTATTAAAATTGATAAATTGGTCATTTGTGCCATTATTACTATTCATTAAATTTGTCTTGGTTTCCATTTCTATCTATGTTATCTACCTATGTTATTTTTCTTTACATGTATCTCTTTCCCTTAATATTTATCTTATAGTTCTTATTTTTCCTTAATTTATATTTATTTTCCTGAAATAGATTTTGTATGAATTTCAACATTAGTTTCAACAGTTATTTTAAAACCTTTATTTACTCGAGTATTGTCCTTGTTATTTTCTCTATGCTCTTTTGAGGTTTCTGTGTGAATTGTTGCATGAAAAGTGCAAACTAGATCTTTCCTTTTGGAGTTTTTTTTTTTTTTTGTTTAATTAGCATTTATTAAAGTAAAAAAAAAAAAAACACACACACACAATTTCAAAAAATCTTCTAATATCCCTCATAATTCTGATTAATTCAAGAAAGTTTTAATAATCGGTACTCACCATTAGGGTGGCCAACATGGAAAAGGCGGTGGTAAAATCATCCCAGGAGATGGGCAGCTTCGAGCTGAGGCTGGTGAACTCCAGGACCAGAATGATGAGGGTGACAGAGAAACAGAAGCACCAAGAGAACATGCACCATGACCAAAATGAGAACCTTAGATGGCGCTCAGATGAAACCAAGCTGAAAGTGACGCACGTGAAGATGACAGCCAATATCCTCAGCATCTTAACATCCAGCGTAACCATCTTGACTGTGAAACTGCCGTCGGCCGGCTGTTCTGTCGGCTCTTAAACTCGCAGCAGTTTTTCTTCCTTGACAGGCACAAAAGAACATTTGCCTATCAGTTCTTCCCCTTCAAATGATAAAATAATGGGAGCTGAACCTTTGCAGTAGAGCAGATAAAAGTGAGATGAAGAGAAGGGTGGGGATGAAAAAGGTGATAATGTGCACACGTGAAATACTAAAAAAGCTGAAAAATTCCAAATTTAATAAATTTAAGTAGTACAGTATAGGTAATGAAAAAACACAAACAAAACAACACATGCTTGTTTGATAAAACAGTATGATTGAAATAANCAATTTTAACTTCAAGAGAAAATATGTTTTTTAAAAACTTCAGCCATATTTGAGGAACTGCAGAGTAACTTAAAAATGACAAAATACAAGTAAATAAATTAAAATAAATCTAAAGCTTAAGTCTTTTGAAACCGTGTTCTAGTTCACTAGTCATTCGGCTTCGTTTTACGCTCTGGCTCCCCATTCAGACTGATGAAAAAAATTGCATGTGGATTTTAAAATTACCGAAAGTCTCTTATTGTACAACTATCATATGACCGCAAAGGAAAGCTGGATATCTATCTATGAAAAAATATAGACAGACAGACAGACATCAAGCTGACTAAGTTGTGACATGACCAGGGACGGATGGAACTGGAGAAGGCCTGGAAGGTGAAGACCACAGTGGTGCCTGTGGTCATTGGGGCCCTCGGGGCAGTCACCCCCAAACTGGAGCAGTGGCTCAAACAGATCCCAGGAACAACATCAGACATCTCAGTCCAGAAATGTCCAGTTCTAGGCACAGCCAAGATACTGGAGGAGAACCCTCAAGCTCCCAGGCCTCTGGTAGAGGACCCGAGCTCAGAGGATGAAAGAGACCACCCGCGGAGGGTGAGAAGGGAATTTTATTTTATATATATAATATATCCCTGACTTCCTTCCCTTTGGGTGGTCGGCGTTTTGCCGTGACTTACTTGTGGAACTGATCCTATCCAAACCTTATCTAGCCACAAGGTCACAAAAATCAACCACTGTCCACCATGAGAGAGGGCTGATGGACAGTCCCAACCACCAGGTCATCTCTACATACAAGGTTTACAACAGTCACTCCGTGATTGGCAACTTTTTTCCTATATTTTGCACACAAACGCACAAAAAAATTTCAGCAAGTCAGATTTTTAAAGATCGGTGATCGGCCAGAAAATTGCTACCAGTGTATCTTCAATGAATGTAAAGGTCATTACTACAAACAAAATATAATTAGTAGTTATTAAAGAAATACTTGAACATCTTGTATATGTCTATTCAACAGAGCTTTCCTAAGAAAAATTTGACAATGTTCTCTATCCATCCTCTATGTAAAATATTTATTTATCCTTCTTCATTTCTATCTTCATCTGTCTCTCTCCATCTTTCGTATCAACTGTATCTTTCTCTGTAATTATCAGGTTTATTTCCTTACCAACTTCAGAGAGTCAGGTTGTTTCCCCTCTGAGAGCCAAACCTGGTCAAAACTTTTATTCGGTGAAGACTGAATTTTGGCTGCGTGTCAGGGCAGGGTAGGACTCACTCGAGCTAATTTGTACAGCCGGCCCTTCGCCATATGATTAGGACATTTCCTCCCGCGGCTGCTAGCTAGACGCTAAAGCTAGTTCCGCTTTTTAAACTTCACATTGAGCGCGAGCGAGCAGAGCAGTCGCATTACTTTTCTGTGACTTTAGCTGTTTTCTTTCTCTTTGAATATTTCTGTTGCTTTTTTCCACTCACGGAAACCCGTTTCAAAGCTTCACTGACTTTTAGCGTCGTTTAAAATGCAAAAACACAGCCGCGGTGGATGGAGGATAACTCGCCCTGTGTTTGGATGTACTCACCACTTGCGAGCTAGCTTTCACAACGCGATCTGGAGAAGAATCGTTTCTGATGTTTGTAAAGATGTTCCGATGCTTTAAAATTAACATCCACATTTTCTGCTTCTTGCTCAGCCCAGTAAGCTCACACTGTTTTTGCCCAAAGCGCAGGATCAGTACTGTACGGATTATCCGTGGTCATCGCTCCACCTGGCGTAATGTTCCCCTTTCCGCCGCCTCAGTCCAGGTTCTGGCGGACCATAGAACCGCTGTTAGCAACAGCTCAAGGGACAATGTTTCTGTCCAGTATGAGTTTTAAAAAACCCTGTTGGCTTGGATATTTTCTTCATATCCTCTCGGTCGCGCTCTTCTTTTTCTTTCGTTCCTGCGCTCGGCTGTCTTTCATTCTGTCCGCCATCATGACAAATCACTCCCTGATGCTCCGCGCCAATGTCTAAGAAACGGCCAACGTGGGCTAATAATAATCAAACATTCATGATAGACATTTCCCAGAGCAAATCAGACATTTTTTTTCAACAACACCGCCAAAATCCTCTTAGCCAGTGATAAAAGTAAGGCAATCTGACTTTATTCATTCACAAAAATACAAAACATCTTTCGGGGCCCCGGGCTGCAGCCCCGGTAAGCCCGTGCTAAAATACGGCTTGGCGGCTGGTTCTATGGATCCATTTTCTTTGGTTGGGAGAAAAAAACTCCTGTCTAAGATCAGTAGACTGTTAACGATATTGAGAAGAGAACATAGGCTTGTTGTCTGTCATATAAGTCAATGCAAATCTGATTGCAGACCAAGGGCGTAGATCCCATCTCATTATTTGGGGTGGGTGGGGAGGGGACCATGAACAGGGACATTTTTTAAAGAGTAATACCAACTGTATTGTGCAGCCATTACACCAGTAATTTCTTCAAATAATGGTTGTGTGCAAACCTATTGCCAGCAATGTAAAAATGATTTAAATCCCTGAATTTTCCCACTCTGGGACCATAAGGGCTAATTCCATAATATTCTAAATGTAAAAAGATTATGTTAGGATCTGGGGAAGGCTGGTTGGGGGGTCTCTAGTTTCTCCACCAGGGGGCATCCTGGGACCTTCTGGAGGGCGTGAACCTGGAGCTGCACACCTGCTGCCACTTACCATCATTTGGAGGGGTTTATCAGGACGGAGCCGCCGACACTCCAGTGCCAGAGTGTTAGCCTGTGATGGTAATATCATTGTAGCTCACCTCCGACCACCTGTTCTCCGAGTAACCTCCTTTTGTGCTGCCTTTCCTAGGTTG